AATTAATATTAAAACTAACGGTAATAAAAACAACAATAATAATAACAATGACACCAATAATAACAGCAATATTATTGTGGCCGAGTTGACTTGTGGCCGAGTTGACTTGTGGCCGAGTTGACTGCAGCCAAACTTTTTGTGGCCGAGTTGATTTGTGGCCGAGTTGACTTGTGGCCGAGTTGACTTGTGGTCGAGTTGACCTGCACCCTTCATAGTGCCTTGAGTGTATTGTTGTTGCACGAGGTTGTTGTTGTGTCTAAGGTAAACATATGGCTTCGGTACTGTACTGCTATATTAACGGATATTTCAAAGTATTTTTCTTTTATTTCCATTTTTTTTTAAACTTTTAATGTGGGATCTTTTAATGTGGGGATCCAGCTGATCCCCTCATGAATTCTCCTGAGCCAAAAGTACAGTACTGTAATTGAAAACGAAACTTGGGTATCGCTTCTAAAAGACAACCTTTTATTAATACATTCTTATTACATAACACATGCAGGATAATGCATTTCACACGAAGAATTAACAAATACTAACCTCATGTCACCTGCATACTAAACAAAGCTTCATGATTACTATTTAACTACTAATTTTTGGTCTGGCATTTTCAAAGACGAGCAACCACTAATTTATAGAAATTTAAATGTTTTCTTGATTACATATTTAATACATAATGTTGAAGGCTAAAACAAAACGAATGAAGACAATTCCATGTAAACCAACCCTGGATGTACTGCGCTGTATATTATTTTTAACTTCAAACTAGAAAAACATTTAAAAAAAACAAAAAAAAAAAACAATCCTATCCTCTGTTTCAGACATTTTTACTACAAAAATGTTTGGATCGATTACAGACACTTAGGGTCTATCCAAAAAAAAAAAAAAAAAGAATCTGGAAATGTATTTTTAAACTTACTTACAGGGAAAATTGTTATCACTTAATTTTGTTTATTGTAAATTAATAATTTACTTATACAAATTTTAATAGGCAATTCAATGGAATTGAATTTTCCTTTTTTTTTTCTTTCTGCTCATGACAGACAGTGCATCTTTAAAGAAAGTTTGCTGCAGGGGTTGAAGTGGGCGCTCGTCTCCCCCCCTCCCCCGCAGTGGCAGACGTCATGCCCACTTAAAAAAAAAAAAAGAACTATGGCCTTAGGGCCCTAAGTTTGATAATAATAACAACTACAATAATAATAATAATAATAACAATAATAAATAATAATAATAATGATAATAATTCAACTAAATAACAATGATAATTACATCTTTGTACAAGAAAATCACGGACAGAAAGTATTCATTTTTTCTGCTCAATTCACACGAACATTACATCCCAGGCACCGATTTGTCTTTTAGACTACAATCAGTAGTTCGAAAACCTACATGCAAATATCATACTTTGTATTGTGTAGGCCTATCGTTTTATATTAATATTAAAGTTTTCATCATTTTAATATTCTAGTGATCAAACACTCAAAAAAGAGTATAAAATGTCTTTTATTTATCATTTTAAATGCCCATGCTGCATAGTTTATTATTATGTAAGACAAATAGATGTTTTTTTTTTGTTATGTTTCATTACTGGTATGTAGATACTCGAAAAAAAAGCCCTACCATCTTGTATTGTTCATTGCCCAGTGCATCATATTACTGTGTCTATGCAAGTAAATACAAACACTGTATAGGAAGGGAAATGCTGACAATACAAAATGTATTTGCTTCCTTTTCTTAAACTTTCTAAAATCGTTTTGATAAGTGGTAAATGCCAAGCTTCCAGGGGGGCTCTTGGGGGGGGGGGAGAGAGAGGGGATATCCCTCCTCCCTCTGACCCAAGGTCCTCGTAGGTGTTCTTCACGCCACCACATCAGATCCATTGTGGATCCGCCCCTGGCTAATATGAAGCTGCGCAATTTTTGACATTATGTTAAAACAAACATAGAATACTGCAATTTTAAATCACAACAAATCTGGTTTCCAATATAAAAGCATTGGGCCTATTAATTATATTTTCATCAACTCTTGACTTAAAATATTAGCCGGTCGCTAACTACAGGACCAGTAGTATAAAATATTATGTTGATGCTGTATTTACCCTCGGAGGATATTGCAATGAGCTTCGTCTGTCTGTGTGTATGTGTGTCTGCCTATGGTGTGTTTGTTCTTCTGGGAGCATAACTCAAAAATTACTGGAACGATTAACCTCAAACTTTCACACACTGACAATATTACATGTATCTCGGTCCTCCTAAATAAAAAAAATAATAGTGAAAAATAATGAAATATGAAAAAAGTATTCTATAGATGCACAAATAATAAAAAATAACAAATAAAAAAAAGAGGGAGATTTGAACCCATACATTCAATAAAATTTACACTTAATACATGCAACTTTACCGCTCGACCACATTTTACCAGATATGTACAGCTAGCAATATTACACCCTATAATACAACAACCAGCTGATCAAGCCCATCGACATATTTACAACAATATGGCGCAACAGGGCGAGGGTCTGTAATTTCAGATTATCTTGTTGCTATCTGTACTGACATACTAGTTGCAAATAAATTTCTCTAATCAACTTCATGTACTATACAATGAAGCCTCTAATGGCCAATGCAAATACAATTGAATTAATTCATAGTAAAATTAACTATATAACTTTTTTCTGTGATCTAATTGTTCTAATAATTAATTACATAAACATCAGTTGAGCTTACTTGTGCTACTGCTAACCTTCGAGGGTAATGTGAGGCAATGGACATTACACAATTGTTGTTATGATTATAAATCTCTTTAATGTACTTGCCAAGCTTATCAAACAACTTTACTTTGCAATGACTTGCTACAATAATGTTTTCATCACAATCAACAATTACTCTGGAAGGATTTATCCCTATACCACTAGTACCTCCTCCACCAATAAGGAGGTTCATGAACTGACCTTCACTATTAAATAATTGAATTCTTGGATTGTGCGAGTCAGCCACAATGATATTTCCTTCTTTTGTGACAGCAACACTTGAAGGCCCATCCATCTGACCTTCAAGAGAACCCTTGGATCCAATGGTCTTCACCTTACTATAGCTCTCCATGTTAAATACATCCACACAATTATTAAAATCTGCAACATACACTAAATTTACTTCTTCATTTACAGCAATACCAGATGGACAACTTGATTGACCAGTTGACATTGATTTGATCACCTGACCATCTTGTCTGAAGAATGTTATGGTTTTATTAAACTGATCACAAACTATCAAGTGATTGTTTTTCAGTTGGCATATTCCACTAACACTCGAGTTTTGTACTAATGTTATTTTAGATATGTACTCGCATGTATTTTGAAATTTATACATTATGTTTGTTTTACCAGCAACTAAAAAGTAACCATTTTGAGACATGAATATATCTGTAATGCCTTCATCACAAATGTCAATAGATTGCCAAAAATTGCTTCTGGTCGTTCGATCATATTCAACGTAGATACTGATTGGCGATCCTTTTATTGGAGCATCACAAAAACGTATATCCAATGTAAGATTATAACCAGCTACAAAACTGGCAGTGGGTCCTGCTACAACACACTCTCCCTCAGCAACCTGCTGTTCAATCTTGCCAGTTACATTAACATAAGTACAATAGCCATTCCTGTATTCTTGATAGGTCCAAGTTGCATGCAAATTGTTCATATCTAATTCACATTTAAAACTTTGAGCAATTTTAACATAAAAGGATTGGTAACATGTCACTGTCTTAGGATATTCTGATACAACAAAGATATGCTCATTTGGCTTTTCTCCAACACCACCTACTCCATGTTGCTTTAATGCACTCAATATGTGATCCTTGCTTGATGTGAAGAAAATCTGGCCATCATCCCTAGGTTCCGTCTCTGGTAAAACTTCAGCAATCATTTGCTGCAGTTCTTTAATTGCCTCTTGACATGTTTGGAGAGCAGTTGCTTGATCACTTTTTAATAATTTTGTTATGGAATTTTGTTTTTCTTCAACATCTGATATAATTGATTTGAGTTCATCAATTTGTGAGTTGCTTTTCTCTTTCTTTGCCTCACAGACATCATCCAACTTTGCTTCCAATTTTTTTCCAGTTTCTCTGACTAATTTAACAATTTCTTCCACAGTGTTGTTAATATCTTTTTTTAGATAAACTCTACTCATACTAAGCTTGGAAGCATTTGCAATACATTTTTGTACTCCTACTTGTGCCTGTTGTTTGTAGATATCAGCCTCAACCATCAACACATTTGCTGATAATTTAAAGTCGTTAAATGCATCAGAAGCTGTAGTTATCTTATGCAGTCCTTCATCTTCACTGTGCTCAACAGCACATTTTTGACAGATTGGAGCTTTACAAATGTTGCAATACAATTCCAGCTTTTGCTCATGCAGCGGACACACTGGCTGATGAATTTGACCTTCTGGAACAACTGGCCAGTTAGTGCTGACTGGTTTTAATGTATGGTTCTTGGTTAATGGAAATAATCCATGAGAATTTGTACAAGTAGTACAAAGATGCTGACAACAATCTTGACAGTAGACGTCTGCATTGAATTTACCACAACAGCACTTGATGAAATCACAATCCTTATTCAGGTGTTCTGCAGTTTCCTCTTTAATGACATTTGACGATAATTCCTGAAGCCCGCCATCAGAAATAGAATGCTTTTGGCGGCAATTTGGACATTCTATTTCCCCCTTTTCCTTCAACCAGTCCTGAAGACAATATAAGCAGAAGCTATGTTGACAATTTAATGTTTTTAGTTCTTGACACAAATCTAGGCAAATTGGGCATTTATTCGAATCTCCAAGTACTGACCGTTGTAGGTCTTTTTCAGCCATATTCAAACTCTGAAATGATAATAAAAGAACACAATATTTTTTGAAGTACTAGAAGACACAGTGCTTTTCCAGAGAATGATTCACAAGTACCTTAGAGCTACAGTATGCATAACTTTCCTGGTCAATAGGAAATATATATTTTTTAAATTGTTATCTATTAAATCTTAAAAATTTGGTAGTATCTTCATGCTGGTACATTTATTTAATAATAATTAAAAATTTCTCCGACCACAAATGCTAGTACATATTGTACAATAGGTTCTGCCTTCTTACCAAACTTTATTAATGGTAACTAGACTAAATTACCTCATTAGTGAAATATTAATTATGCAAATGAACACTTAGCATATTCACACACATGCCAAAAATAAGGCTCTGTCATCTTAGTACCATCTTGCATTCTGTCAAATTTGAAACCAGACTTACCAAACTTTAGTTATCATGGTAATTAGCCTAACCCAGGGCCGGCGGAACGTTTTTTAAAGTGGGGGGGCCCACTTATAAGATGAATGGGAATATGAATCATACAGATCGGGAATCAAACCTAGGTGGTGGGGTCAACATTCCTCCCCCGGAAAAATTTAGATTTCTAGATGGATGGAAATGACCTTTCTCGACTTTTGAGCTGGGTGTCTAACGACTTTGTTCTTCAAAATTCAAGGTTTTCCCCCGCTTGAAAACGGTAAGGTAAACTTTCTCATTACAGTAAATAGGCCTGTTATGTGTGTATACCTTAAGAAAATGAGTAGTTGCATATCGTATTCTTTTTTCAATGAATCGATAAGCTGAAAAGAAAAGGGGGGGTCCATCCTAGATGGCGGAAAATGAGCTTTTCCCCCGACTCCTGAGGTGTCTTAATTTCTTTTAAGTTTTTTCAAAACTCAAGGTTTTTCCCTCTTGAAAACGGTCAGGTAATTTTTTACCATTGTTATTCAGTAAATAGGCCTTAAGTGTATACATACATAACAATTTTTAAAAAATGAGTAGGTGCATACGAATTTTCCATGAACCTCAGAAAGGAGGGGGTCCTGAAAATTTCGATTCCTAGAAGGCGGGAAATGAGCTTTCCCGACTTCTGGGGTGTCTTTTAATTACTTTTAAGTTCTTCAAAATTCAAGGTTTTCCCCTCTTGAAAACGGTCAGGTAATTTTTTACCATTGT